CAGATGTACCATCATGAGTAAATTAAATTTTCACTGCATGAAAAAGAAGAAATAAGATAGCCTTGTAGATGTTGAGCCATAACCAGGCGTTTTAGTAGCTTAAATTTCCTTGAGCGGGATGCGGAATACGTAAAGCACATTAAAATTTGGCATATTCAGGGGAAAAAACTGTATAGAAGATCGAAATCAAGATCATACTTAAAATACTGTTGCTATTTTAAAACGAGTTTCGTGATATGAATCATAATTACTTGCACATGAGCGCCAAGGGACATAAGAGGTCCGCCATTGCCCCAGCTACTCCCCCCAGCGGGGCCAGATAGTCCACCGCCGTAAAGTGAGGCTCCGGCATACGCTCCAGCAGCTGAAGAAAGAATAGAATTAGGATTTGACGATGTAACTCCATTACTCGTGTTATTTCCGCCAGTCGTATTATTGCTAGTTGCTGTTGCAGCACTGGTACTCCCATCAGCGCAACCAATGGACGCATTAAAAAGATGAGATGAAATGGTATCAGTGTGGGAAGAGGAATATTGAACCAAATAACCTGGAGATTCACCAGCGTTGAAGTGTTCCTGGCACATATCCGAAGAAGGATGTTGAAAATTTGTGCTGGAAGGTTTTCTAAGTGGTAAATGATAATTAACCACACCAGGTACACTAGAGACTGGTGAAACGATCATCATGGAAGGACTAGATGATTTTGAAACATCTGATCCACGAGAATGAGTCTCGTTGTCGAGTCGAAAAGCAACTCTTGACCAGTCCATTGCACTTGAATCATTGTCTGCGTGAGGTAAGAGGTTTACCCTAGTGCAAGAGGCAATAGGCGTTGATTCACATTTTTCAACCATCTTTCCTGGTAGCTCCGGTTCGCTAGACTTTGAGGCTGGTGAGGGCATGAGATTAAGTGCTGTAGAATCCGGAGAACGCTGAGGAAAAATCGATGAAGAACCTAATATCATCAAAGTAGAAGTTCGTAATTAACAAGATTATACAAAAAATGTAGGCATAAAAAATTATGATGGCTACTTTCAATAAGCGAAAGGGGGCTACATGACGATTCAGCGACAGGATTTGAAATGAAACGATTGAGCCCAGATGGGGCACCAATATCGACATCTGATAGACAGGAAAAACTAGTCCCAGTGCACTTATCCACTGTATTCTCATGATCGGATATAGAAGTATCTGGAGTCTCGGGACCGTCACCATTCTCATTAATTTCTTCATCATAATCGAATGGAGGACTGAGGCTAAGAGAGGATATATCCAAAGCTGGAGAGACGACTCTTTCATAATGATAAGGATTGAT